GTGTTGATCAAGAAGATGGCGTGGTCAAGGGTCGGGAGTTCGGGCAGAAGATTCGGGTCGTCTGAACCCATCTTGAGGCGTCCCCAGTCGATTTCATAGACGCCGCCATCAAAGATAAGAGCTTGTGGAGGCGCCGGAGAGTTGCAGACTTGCGAGTGGGTAAGATTCAGAACGCGGCGAGTGAAGGACCAGTTGGAAGAGGTGCCCAGGTAATCTGGCTGTCAGAATCATGTCGGATAGCCAGTGGAGGTGCCAGCCTGGAAGACTCACATGTGACTCCCGCAGCGGAAGTCGTGAATTCCGCATGTCGGAGCGAAAGAGGATTCTCCACAGCAAGGGAAGCTGGTTCAGTGTGATCTGGGGACTCTTGTAGCGCTGGCGCTTGGAAACCTATGTCCTCCGACCTTGGCGTGGCATACGTGTTGGAGGGGCCGCCTGCTGCTTCCTGCTGTTGCACTGTCCCATTGACAGACGAACTTATTTCTAGGTAGTTCAAGATATAGTCAGCTCTGGTCTTGTGAGTTGACGATGAATCCGAGATGCGATCTTCGGTAGGGTGCTTACCCTCTTCGTTTGAGCGTTGACCTGCCCGTTCACCAATTGGTGATCCACGAGAATCCCTTCTCTGACGGCGATGTTCCGCTTCTTGGACAGAATTCTGAAGATCCATGAGATAACTACAGAGACCCATGATCAGGAGTGTTCCGATGAAGCTGATAAACTGCATGCTCCTACCCTCTCGTCACAACGATCTTCTGGTCGCGCTGATCAAACTCGCAGGCCACCCTCCTCTTCGAGCAGCCATCGCAAGGTTGGAGGCCGGAACATTTGATCTTCAAACGACGGCAGCGAACACACCTACACTTGAGTCAGACGAATTCGGGTCTTGCGACTGACAGGCTGTTGAGCACAGGCAAAATAATACATACGCATTCGACGTTCGCTTGGAGACACGGTCTTGCGATCGGGCCGCGCCAGTCTCCATAGCTGCACTCCCTTCGCCGGCACTTGGTCGTCGGTGTGGCATTGAATAACAAGAGGTCTAAGGCGAGACAAATGTCTGTCGACCAGGCGAGAAATGATGATACTCAGCCATAGATTGATCGAGGGTTCACCCGGCTATTGCTATGGTAGATGTTTGGCGATGATAAGAGATGGATACGCTGGAAACGTACCAATGCGGGGTACGATGGGGGTGTTGGGGGGCCATGACTCGCCTGGGTACCGTAGGTAGGGACTTTGTGACGAACGGCCTCCCTAAGGAGGTGGCTGTCAGGCGCGACACTTCAGTGTCTCATGGGTGCCTGCCATTCTTAAGTTGGCCTCGAGGTTTCCTGCTCTATCACGCGTTGAGGAGAATGACTAAGAATGAAGCATCACGTCTTACCGGAGGACATCGTCACTTGGACCCCTGATTGACCTCAATCGAACTGCAAGTCTTAATTTCCTCCTATCTGCCTGGTTTTGTGGAAGCAGGATCTTATCCCATCGCTTGCCACTTGACATGACCTGGTTTGCCTACAGTCTTAGATCCTTACTTATCTCGAGTGCAAACAGTCACGAAGCAGATAGTCGACGACTTGACCGACGTGGAAAGTTCCATATATGATGGGAAATTCCATATATGGTATCTTTCAGCGTTCCATAGCACACCTTCAGGTGCTGTTTAACAACAGACGATGGCAACGCACGACTTCAGCGCTGGGCATGCAATAAACCTACCTCAGGTACCCCCCAAGATACCTAGAGAGGTAAATAGTTACCATCCTGCCAAAACCTCGCTGCGACTTTACCCACACATAAGGGTCTACAGTAAGGATGTCGACAAACTGCGTTCCAGCCGGCTTGCCTTCTTTCATGCGACAGCCAGGTTCACCCTCGTACTGCGCGGTTGGTCGTGGTGTTGTGCAGAGCGAAAAGAACCATCCATACACCACACCACGCTCACTTCATGGCCATGCAGTGTTTTCCTGGACCAGTGATAAGAACCAAACATCTATCAGCCAGTTGTACAAGAACCGTCGTCGTCCGCAAGTACTTTCAAAAAGCGCCGTGATAATGCTCCGGCCTTTTCAGCTGCAGCCAACAATCAGGATGCGGGAGCGTGCGGTGGGAACCAGAAAGGAAGCACATGGCCGGCATCTTGAACTCGGCGCGATGACCGCCGGCCAACTTCGAGTCAGGTCGACCAACTTCTGCGAAAGATATGACCCGCTCAATGCTCCTCCACAGGGTGGCACACCCCAATGCTTGACTGTCAATCAAGTTGATGGCAGATCGGAAAGGAGAGTCGATCCTGCTATCATCACCCCTCGATTTCATCCCTCGCCGGATCCAATTTCCGTCTACCAGCTCCGCTATCGCGGGCTCGCACGCAGCTTCACCATTGTTGGTCATCGTGCAGGTTTTCGTCTACCTAAAATTAGGTAGAGAGGCTGAGACGGCTTGACAAGCCACCGGCCAGCGCATCGCAGTGGGCCTCAAACCCCATGGGGAAGCGCAGCGCTATCAGGCCTGACGTTCTTCAACGAGGAGAGCCGTTGACGATTCGGACGTGGGCTTGAGGGTGTTGCGATGCAAAACATACGACATCGGGAGGTGATCCGTTCCTTGGACGTAACCTCGGGTGGCCTTCCGTGATCCACACCACCCCAGCAGACGATGGCAGGAATGCCTTTTGAAGACGCTAGAGCGTCATGTCTGGGAGAAGTGGAACGGCCGGCCGGAACGGCTGCTTTTCGATTGCAGGGAATGCTGGTGCCCCGTGTGCAGGTATCTTGATTCATGAATACAGTGAGGCGTTGATCATCATGTTATTTGTCTAAGCTTTCCTCGAGCCCCCCGTGGTACGGTCTCATATATCTTCAGCCCGGGCCTTGATTACTGAGGGACATATGGAAAACATGCTTTCCCCAGGCTTTGTTGTCTAGTTCTGCGTTCCCATTTCGTCAAAGTCCTCGTGTCACGATACGTCCAAAACATCAGACAATATGTTGAAAACATGGAGTCGCAAGTCTCAACTGCAAGACAGTGGTTCGCCTTCCTCCGAGGTCGGTGAGGTCATCGATGATCCTGCCTCATCTCACGATGCTGTCTTTGGCGACATATCGGGGAAAGGCCCCAACTACCGAAATGTGAGCCTTTCCCCACGTTGTGAATGACCAATGAGGGCAGAACGTCTGATGCCAAGTAGGTGGGATGGCTTGGTACTGTAGCCCTCATGATGAAGACACAAATCGGACTTGGCGTCCTGTCGATCCCCGCGGCGTTCGACACGCTGGGTATCGTCCCGGGTGTCCTCGTCTTGTGTGCCATTTCTGCCATCACAACATGGTCGGACTACATCGTCGGCGTCTTCAAGCTTAAGCATCGCGAGGTGTACAGCATCGATGATGCTGGCCAGCTTATGTTTGGCCGCATCGGTCGGGAGGTTTTGGGCTTTGCATTCTGTCTTTGTAAGTCATGGACCTCGCATACGAGGAGGAAGTTCTGAGCACTGCTAATCGTAGAAGACTGGATCTTTGTAGCTGGATCGGGCATGCTGGGCATCTCCATCGGTCTCAATGCTGTGTCCACCCACGGCACTTGCACCGCAGTATTTGTCGCCGTGGCCGCCATCGTTGGGTTTCTCTTCGGAAGCATCCAGACCCTCGGTCGCATCAGCTGGCTGGCATGGATCGGTCTGATTTGCATTCTTTCATCCAGTTTGTCTTCTTCAGGACCCATGTGATGCCAATCTGAGCTTCCTCTGACCTCTTTGCTCGCAGTTCTCACCGTGACTGTCGCAGTCGGGATCCAGGACCGCCCCGCGTCTGCGCCACAGACTGGCGAATGGTCCTCCGACTTCAAGATCATCAACCACCCATCCTTCACCGAGGCGATCACGGCGGTATCCGCCATTGTCTTTGCGTTCGCCGGCACACCTGCCTTCTTCGCTATCGCGTCGGAGATGCGCGACCCCAAACTCTACACTCGGTCCCTCATCATCTGCCAGTCAGGCGTCACGGCCATCTACATTGCGATCGGCTGTGTTGTGTACTATTTCTGCGGCTCATTTGTGGCGTCGCCTGCGTTAGGGTCTGCCGGAACAACCATGAAGAAGGTGTGTTATGGCCTGGCTCTGCCGGGCTTGATGGTGACGACCGTTCTCGTGATCCATGTGAGTCCTCCCCCCCACCCGGCCTTGTCTCGCCTTGGTCAGGTCCCAGAAGCCGAGCTGATTCCGAAAAGCTTCCTGGAAAATACATGTTCGTCCGCTTCCTCCGCGGCACCAAGCACCTCGCGTCCAACACAATCATTCACTGGGCCACTTGGTTCGGGTGCACCTTTGGCGTGACGGCCATCGCCTACATCATCGCCAGCGCCATCCCCGTGTTTGGCGGCCTCGTGTCTCTGATCGGCGCGCTGCTCGGTACCTTCCTGTCGTTCATGCCAATGGGTTGCATGTGGCTCTACGACAACTGGGCCAGGGGCAAGACGGAAAAGACGTTGGAGCTGGAGGCTGATGGTTCTCTGGAGCGTCTTCGTCATCGTGTCTGGTACATTCCTGATGATCGCGGGAACATACGGGTCTGTCGTGGGTATCATGAATTCATACAAGGAGTCTGGAGGTTCGGCGGCGTTTTCGTGCGCCGATAACTCGAACTCGACTTGAGTAGGCGTGGCTATGGCACTGAATAGAAATCCCTCCTAGAACTGTCTCGGTGAAGCGTCGGTGAAGATAGCAAGGTAAATTCCTATCCAAAGCGACCGGCGAAAATGCTTGGTCGATGATATGGCAGCATATCGTCATGGTACCCGAAGGACGCGTCATTTTGGAATGCGAGTTGCGAGCTCGTTGTTGGGTGGCTCCTGGTCTGCTTCAAAATACCTCTCACAAGCCCGAGCCCGGACCTTAATTGCGACACGGCGTACTCCCAACGTGCAGCTAGCCTCCTTTTGACTGTCAGTACTTGCCAATCAAAGGAGTGTGGCACTTGGATAAAGAGCCGCGCCTCCCTGTCTTACGCAGCTTCAGAGGGAGAAGAAAAGCTAATGCCGAAGCGAGAACCGCCCGCCCGGAAGTGTGACGATTAGCCCGAGGGATCATGCCATATAAATATATACATCACATCGCACTGATGAACGCCCCCTGTGGCCCAGATTTCTTTTGGCGGCGGCACTGGGATTTGCGAGGTGATTGTTGAGGAAAGCGCCGAGGTTGTACCGCCGAGGTTGTAGGTAGATTGTCATCGCGAGAATGGAGTATGGTGGAAATTCGGAACTGAACAGAAGCAGACGACACAAGCAAGACAATTCGTAAACTGGGCATAGCCCCGTTATGCATGGCAACTTTGGGGTCGTCCTTCAGTGAGTACCCTAGAGATGGTGATGATCACCATGTGTGCAGTATTCACCGACCACACCAGGCTAACACCGAGCTCACCGAGCGTAAGGGCGTCTTTGACAGAGTTCCCCTCACAACGACGTAATGCCTGATGCTTGCTATAAAAAGGGCCAAAACGAAAGAAAAAGAGTCAACTTTTAGTAGAAAGTTTTCTAAACAGCATACCGTTGCAAAGGAAAAACTCTACTCAAAGTTACATTGTTGCCATCACCAACACAATGTCCCTCGGACCAATCCCCGAGACCATCACCGGCAGCTGCCTCTGCACAGCCCTCCGCTACAAAATCACCTTTCCCCCTTCCCACGACTTTGCCGCAGCCAGTCGCCTCTGCCAGTGCACCCAATGCCGCAAGCAGACAGGCGGCCTTTTTCTCGCCGTCTTCTTCGTCCCCGCCTCGGCCCTCAGCTGGACGACGCCAACCGAGGCGCTCAAGACATACTCCGCGACGCCGGGGGCGCAGCCCGGGTTTTGCGGAAGCTGCGGATCGTTTCTGTACTGGAGGTCTGACGAGGGCAAGGGGGTGAGCCTGTCTATCGGGACGTGGATCCGCTGTACCT